TCCAATTTGTAACGAGTTTTTCTTACTTCCACATATTTACAAGTTTCACCTTCTGCTTTAAAACTGTTCTGAGCCTTTTGTACAGTTTTATCAGCTTTAGGGCAGAAATTGGGAAATATGAACAAATGCTTAAAAAATCCATTTCACCCAGGCTGACAACATCTGAAGGGGTGAGAAGATTTTTCCCTCCTTACTTATCTCTAAAGATGGCACGTCTGTGAAAAGTTTTTCAAAGGATTTAAATGAAATAATTTTATTTTTAGAGTCAGAACTCCATGCCACAGATTTCCAAGAAACGAAGGCTAAGCTAGGGTTTAATGTAGTGTGTGAATGTTCTATGTACAAGCCAATATAGTATATTAAGTGACTTGAATGATTTTTCCTAACTTGTTTGCAACTAATAGATCATATTGAATGTTTTTATGTAAACTTTGTATTGTTGGGACAACCTACCCAATCAGAGATTTATATTTTCATAAATGTTAAATTTAGTTAAATTTTGTTACAGAGTTGTTAAATTAGAAATCTATTGCAGTCTTCAAACAATATACAGTCTTGTGTATGCATTGTTTGTACTAATAAATTAAGGAAACAGACTTGTGTGTAGTTTATTTTTAGGGAAAACTCCCATGGGAGACTAACATGCTGCTACCTGAGAAGTGAATGATGTGCCCAGTTTACAGGGACTACCTCCAGAACAGCAAGTTTCACTCTGTCAGACAGACAGACCCCAGGTATTTCCAACTTCCATCAGCCTGTATACAAACCATTTTTAAAGGTCTGTATTCATAAGGAGAATTCCAGGATTTTTCCCACTTCAGGTACCTAAATAAAACTGAAATTCACACAAAAATATGTTTAAATGCTGCTTATGACTAAAGACTGCCCGTGTGCCAGGTAAGCAGCTGCGCAAAGGCCTCGCGCACCCTGTCTGCTACAGAAGAGTTCAGGTCCATGGAGCTGCAGGCGAGGGGCTCAAAAACGGGGCCTCACTCGCCCATGAGGCTGCTAAGCAAGGAAATGCTCCCGCGGAGCGCGATATCACACAGGCCCATCGGGAGTCTGTCCCCAACTACCTCAGTTCTGCCACACAGAGGCCTAGCAGTTCTGCTATCCATGAGGCGCCAAAATGGCAACAGGAGAGCGCCATTTACCTTCTTTCAAGGAACACTATTGGCATATTGAGAACAAAGCATTCACTTTATTCCTTATCTAAAGCATATCCATAAACACTCTCATGTGGCATCTGCGTTTTCCAACACAGAAGATGCTAGAAAAAGGTTATGGCTGGAAGAAAGCTTCCGGGCGGAATCAGACGGAAATTCTCTGCCAGGCCAAGGTAGACCAGAGGTCAGCTAGAAAATCAGTATTTTTTATCAGTCATTTCCTTTGCACCACAGCTGGGGAATGCACAGCCCGTGGCTTCATTTCATGCAGCCTGTGGCCACAGGACTCCTTTCATGTTATTATCAGGTAACATCAGAATGTGAGTTAACAGGTAGCCCAGAAAAGGCGGCCCAAGGGTCTGTGGAGGGCCCTGTGGTTCCCCAGCTCCAACTGCTACATGGCACCTACTCCCATCCTCCACAGGGACCTGTGCTAAGAGCAGTTCTAGCCAGCTAACAAGGCGGTTTGAAACAAAAAAAAATCACCACTAAAACATCTTTCATAGCCAGAGGGATATGGCTATGATCCATATCTGCCCTGGATCAGCTTGGACTCCTGCTATTTTGCTCAGCGCTGTCAAAAACTGCATTGAAAGCTCTTCAGGGCAGGCGGATGCAGCTTGTCTGTCTGAGAGGTCACAAGGAGCCCAGTCATTTGGGCAATTACACCAGTAGCAACGATCTGCAGTGTTCTGTTTGGTTAAGCAGAAGTTTAAAAATATATATGCTTTAACATATATAAAACAAATATTTATATATTTAACATATATAAGCCACGAAAGGACTGAATTTGAAATTTATTTTCATTTTTTCTAGTTATAAGACTAAAGACATTTTTTTTTCCCACACATTCTTTTATGCAATCCTATCAAAATGTGGCTGAGGGCCTTTGGAACTCACTTTGAAGTCGTGATACCCCATGAAGGAGGTTATTGCACTGCTCTTCCTGGAAGATAACTGCAGGGATAAGCAAGATTACATTTCTTATTCCTTTTAGTTTGCCTTTCCAGTCTGGTCACTGAACATCATTCCTGGCATTTTGTAGGTAGTCTAGTAATGTCCATGAAAAGAAGAGATGGTAACAGAGGGGTTGCAAATCACGGCCTCCACTTCAGGTGCAGGGGAGAGTGAACATGGAAGCACATTCCCCACAGGCCCTCCAGCGACAGGAGGAGGCCTTTTCCACCTGCCTCTCACACAGGGGCAGTTTGCACCGCTACCTACACAGCACCAAAAGCAGCTAAAAACATCAGCCATATATGTGTACACGTATGTGTGTGTGTGTGTGTGTGTGTGTGTGTATGTGTATATATATATATATATATGTATGTATAAGCAAAGGATGAAACAAAAACCCAGGCACACTGCAACACAGATGAAGAGAAATCTCAAAAGCAGTGGGATATTTTGCTGACTGTCATCGGTCCCTGCTGATGGCTCTGTCACCAGCATATGCTGCCCAGCATGTCCCCTCTGCTGCTGCTGCTGACGTAGGTATCTGGACCTGCAAACGTCACCTTTTCAGCTGCAATTCTTCAAGGCAGGCTGCTACCTCAGCAGAAATGTCCTTCAAAAGGCCTCAGCCAAAATTGTTTAGTGAGGTACAAGAATGAGGCTAGAGGGGAAAAATGAGGATTTCCATAAGCTGAACATCTTAATGGCTTTTCCTGTGACATCTGAAAAAAAACAAGGGTGTTGGATGGGTGAAACAAGTGGTCATTTAATTCAGGACACATCTGTGAAAACCTAACCCAAACTGTAAGTCTGGGAAGATCTCACTGGTTTGCACATGCTCATAGGAAACACTGGACATGGAAAAGCTAGGCCAGCCTTGTCAGAGAGACCGGGGAGAAGGGGAGAGGAAGGCACCTCAACCTTCTCAGCTATCAAAAGTTACTCTAGAGAGACGCAGAGGTTATACCACATTTCTGCAGGTCCACACGGTGTGAGACACCCTTCTATGGACAGCACTGAGTTTCCTGTCCACATGGATGGGGCTAGGGAAGCTCAGAGCACCATGAGCCCCATGCTCGGCCTGACCGCCAGGAACAGCCGGACTGCAGCACCCACCACACGCAGCACCCCAGACCAGCATGCACACACATGAGGGCAGCGTGCTGCTTCACTACAATGTCCTCTTCCAAAAACAGGCATTGGAATAGGGATAGGAATGCACAGGAATGCTGCATAGCAATAGGCAGCAACGTGGCAGCCCTGAAAAGCAGGGACCATTCTGGGGGAGGCCAAGTTTGGGGCGTAGAGGGGAAGCAGAGTGAGCTGCCCTGCTTGCACACCCTGCTCTGTGCGGGCAGCCATCCTGAGCCTGGCCAGCAGCCCAAGAGGCATCCTGAGGAACCTCTACCTGCTGATCACGGCCTGCCTGAGAGTTTAACGTAGGCTTCTGCAGCAGGACATTCCCTGGCTCTTTAAGTCCCTTTTCAGGTAATGCTAAAAGCTCAGCTGTAGGAAAAGAAACCCCCCACACACACCAAATGGCAGCTGCAGAGCAGTTGGAGTCGGTGAGGCCAGAGGAGCTGGATGACGGGAGCAGAACTAACACTTCTGGTGCTGCAGCGCAGAGCTGTTGGAGTGAGGGGTTTGTTGGAGGTGCTTCAGCCTGCGAAGGACCCCTGGTCTCGCTCAGTGACACACTTGGTTTAGAACAAGCAGCCCCCTGTCACTTGCTTCCCGGCTCGCGTCGCAGCAGCTCAGGCTGCGGTGGGACTAGGTGGCGCAGCTGCTTCTCCTGCTGTCCCCCTTCCCTCCGCTGCGCTCACAAGTGACACAAGTTTGACAGAGCCCGCTGCGCTGACTGCAGCGCGTGCCAGAGGGAGCAGCCAAGCTCAGCACGGAGCATCTGGAGGATGTTCTGCATGAGAAGGGCAAGCGGGATGGGATGGGATGGGACGGGACGGGACCTTCCTGGGGATGGCAAGGACAACAGCGGCACCTGGCAGGGCGACCACGTGCAGTTGCCCTCATGGTTAGGGAGCGTGACAGGAGCAGCCAGACCTCAGGGAATCCTTCCCAAAGCTCAGCCACACGAAGGATCTGTAGAACATTTCCTACGGAGGGAGCCAGCTGGATCTCTGCAGCTCCGGACCCGCACAGTGACGCACGCGAGTAGGTGATGCAACGTTAGCGTGAGTTGGCAAGTTCCTTCCAGGGCTTATTTTATAGTTTCCAGGTACACTGATATATGTTAAAGATTGCACATGGAAAACACCTGATCCAGCTGCTGCCAGACATTGCTTTATATTAACCCCCTGCGCTGGGGACACCCTCCCAAATGTGCAGGGGCAGCAGAACGTGTTTTTTGGGAGCACCACACCCAGAACAACGCGACTCCAGAACAGTCAGCAGGTTTCGCAGGAGGCGACACCGTGCCTGAAACTCCTACCTGCAGTCAGAGCTGCTCTGTGGGGCATCACCCAACATAGGGAGGACTAAACTTCACTGCTGCGCGAAACTACCTGATACAACAGAGGAGCTTTCTGCTAAATCCTTTAGCAGAATTTGTGGCATGGGGAGATTTAATTTCAGAAAGATGCATGTGACAGTATTGACTCACTGTCAGGCTTGAACTTTGTTGTTATCCTACGTGACCATCCCAGAGGAAAGGAAGGATTTAGCACACGCTCCTCTCTTGGTTTAGCCCTGACCAGAAAGCAGAGAGGTTCACCCCGTTCATACCCAGCCTGCAGGTAAAGGGTTACAGATTCTAGGAAGTATTAAATGCAAACTTTAAAGGATTTTATTTTCATCTACAGTCACATGACGCCTTAATACCCAATGACACTAACTACAGTATCTCATTAAGAGGTCATGCAAACTCCCAAGCTAAACAAGGCATTCTTACATATTTAACATTCAAATGCAGAAGCCGAGCTAAGCCATGGAAGATCGTAATCAGGAAAGAGCTGCACTTCCTGACCAGCGTAAAAGCCACAGGTAGGAAAAGTTCTTGTTCCTTTAAACTTGTACATTTTGCTTTCAAGGGACACTGTTTATTGGGCTTATTCTGTCCTCTCTTTAGTTCTTAGTTTTCAGAGCAATTTAAGAGTTTTATCCTGAAAATACCTGATCTCAGTCATTTCACCTGCCGTAGAACCTGCGTGTTTTTATACTCAGAAACACAGCTCAGTGGACAGTCAAACAAACCAATTCTTTAAACAACGTCTGACTACTAGAAAGCTAAAACTAATATTCCTTAAGACCGTTTGGTTATTGCACAGGATGTGTTAAGAGTCTGTGGGGTGAAGGGGGAGTTAATATGTCTTTGATGTCTGAAGGGAAGGGATTTAGAGCTCTTCTGACTTTACTTACAGGCTGAATTGCGTATTGTTTCAGTCGCTTCAGTGAAAATATGTTTTAATGGTCGTGGTTTCCTCACTGAACTTACAGGAGTTCTGATTTCCCTCGCTATAATTCAGTGCACACAAAAATATCTTGCAAAGATTAAGCAAGGCAGATGGGGAGTTTATTTCAGTGCTACATAAAAGGAAAAAAAATACAAAATAGGGGAAGAAAGCGATGCTTTGGTTAAAATATTGTTAATCAAAAATTAAAATTACATATAAGCACATCCATTTTCCCATGGAGTGTGATACTTTCACCAATATTGCTGACAGCACTGCAAGTGTTCATTTTTTCTACCTGCACTGAAGGACTTCTCTAGGGTAGAATCTTTATCACAAAGTTCTTTCTCTCGTGACAGTTTTTCAGTTGTTTTTACACAGTGTTTGAACCACTCACCATTTTAATCCCTTTGCAAGGCTGTAGTTACAGGCAGCTCTATAGAGCTGTCGATTTTACCTTATCATAGAAGATCTCTGCTGCATCATGAGGTTTCTACCCGTGGGGATTCCCACTCCACAAAAGCAGCAAACTGGGTTTAGTAATTTACACCCACAATGACTGCGAGGTGATTGCAAGCAAAGTATTTTCCTCAGCTTATTTTACAAACCCATCAGTTTTTCTGGTACATAATACCAGCAAAAGCTAAAAAGAAATGGAAAACAATATATATAACTCTTCAGATCAGCTCTCAACATGCTTTGCAAAAAGTACTTTTACTCATGCTTAATGGAAATTCAAAATATCTGAGCCTCGACAAGTTGATCAACACTGCTTTAAAAGATGAGTATCACCATTCATTTCCAATATGTTTTAGTTTAATTTTCAGAAGGGTGAAGATGAAAACAGACCTAGTATGTCCAGCTTGAGACATCAAAATTCTTATTATCCAACTAATTCTTTTTGTGACGCGCCGGCAGAGGAGCTCAGTGCCGCGGTGCTGGGGAGGCAGCGCAGCCGTGGCGCGTAGAAAGAGCCAGTCTTTATTTACTCTTACATAACTGACCTCTGCACTTGCTCAGAAACGCTTGTCAATAAGGGGCTTATTTGCACAGCGACACTTAAATCTTGGGGAAAAGGAAAGAATGCACCAGCCCCCAAAAAAACAGCCGTCCCATTACGCAGCTTTTCCCTGAAAAGGAACATTGCGTCTTAAGTGCTAAGAACAGCCTATCGTGGCCAATCTTTTTTAAGAAATGTTTGTACAAACTGGGCGGGTCAGGGGAAAGTAGCGCTTAGTAGCTCAGCAATTAAAACTGTTGAATGTTTAATAGGTAGAATGCCTTTGTAAGCTGGGAGGTGCGGTGCTGTGGGGCACACACTGACCCACGCGGGCACTCCGCAGCCAGAAAGCCCAGACGTTGAATGAGAATGAAACATAACCCAAGTCCCAAAGAAAGAAATACAAATGAGGCATTTGCCTTCTAGCACTCTAGTAGACCAGATGTTCTTTATGGCAACAATTTCACAGTCATTACAGTAATTTGCACCACTTTCATAATTACTTTTTGCTGAAGAAGTTATCCAACCTATTATGTTGCTTTGGCACGTCAGCATAGAGTGAAGTGTATCGGTGTTTCATGGGAAAAACACACAATTCAAATGCTTTCAGGTGTGCAAGAACAGAGGGAGATTCTTTCAAACGTATCACTGGAAACCTGAGAGAGAACTTTGCATTCAGAACTTGGAGGAAACCCACACACAAATATCAAAAGACTTGCAGAAGTTTGGAAGGGTTCACACACTACCCCCAAAGGAGCTCCCCAGACCCCCACTGACGGCTCAGGCGGCTCCAGGCACTACCGACTGCAGGGGTCTGGACTAGGGGGCTATGGGCCCTATTTCCCTAAGGAAAATCTTTCCTAACGTCTGTTTGCACAGGAAGGCACAGTCTTTTTCTGCTTGTACAGTATTTAATTAAATACGGCCTCAATGTTGTCTACATTTCCCGCTGCTACTGCTTGGCTGGGGCAAGGGGATGAAGAAAAGCTCAGTGGCACCACACAGCCCACTGAAACACAGGAAAGCTCCTAGCCAGAAAATAAGTATTCACTTTTTGTGCCTGAATTAAGATTTCTCCTCCTAAATTTGTCCATCTGAGAATTATGTCAGAAGAGAATGCCAGAACTGTCCTAACAAAATAGTGGCAGTAGTAAAATCTTTAGCATTTTCTCTGAGTGTCCTTCCTTTCATGAGGAAAATCTTCCAGTATTTTTAGCAGTGTCTGGTTGTTCCAGAAATCCCATGGGATTTCCACGGGAAAGAGAACAGTGGGAATTCCTGTTCCTCCGCGGATGCGGGTGCTGTGCAAGGTCGCGGGCAGGAGCAGAGCAGAGCAGGGAGCGAATTCCCGGTCCCAACGCAGGGCCCTGCGGCCACCAAGGGCTCGCTCGCCCACCGGCGCTGCACGAGAGCGCCCAGAAGGGCCACGCAGGCAGGGAGGCCACAGACCAGCTGGGCTTGGCTACGGAAGGAAAGCACCACCACGCAGGATAGATACACTGCTAATAAGAATAGGTGCGAGGCTGCGTAGCTCTTAGCTTACTGACAGGCTAATATCAAATTGGGCAGATAAGTGAGTCGTGGTAGAAAGGTCAAAAGGGACTATTGGAAAGAGAAGAAACAGTAACACTGTTCCTGCCAGCTCTCCTATGAGTCACTTTCGCGTGGACCTACCGAGAAACCTTAAAATTTTATTAAGTGGAAACTAAACACTTTATCTGTAACAACAGGAAGCAGAAAAACAAAACCCATAAGTTTCCTTTTTGGTGTGACCTTTGACTGCCGCAGTCTTTCTAAAAAGGTTCATTTAAATCCCAGCTTTTCTCTTTAACCTCAACTGCCTTCTGCAGAGCCGCAGAGGCCTTCTGGTTAAAGAAGTGTTTCCGAGTCACTACTATGTGACTTATGAAAAGACTTACTCTTTTTCCCTGGGGAGGGTGAAGAGTGAGCCCCCTCCCTGGGCCCTGCTTTCTCCGGTGCTCTCCGGGATGCCGAGGCCTCCATCCTTCCCAGCTCACCCTCCCACTCCATCATGGCACTCACTTCCCTCTTGTTCCTGCCACCGCTTTGCAACCTGCTTTTATCAGCGGGATGTTTGGGGGCACCTGGCTCTACCTCCCACCTCCAACACCCCAGCCCTGTGCAGGAGTCCAGCCGGGCTCCCTGCAAAGGCATCAGCGGCTGCCACTGCTTTCCAGGCAGTCATACCTGGCAGCGCTCTCACTTGGGGGGTGGATTTCCACGCTCCTGATTTCAGATGCTGCTGCCCGGCCCTGCTGTGCCCATGGGCAGCAGCACAGCACCGGGCTTGGGAAGCAAACCTTGCTCACCTGCAGCTCAGCGGGAAAAGCCGCTGCTGGCAGCTCGCAGCCAACTCAATGAAGCTTTGTTAAGGGCCTCTGTGCCCCTATTTTTGGTCTGGGCGGGGTATGGAAAAAACAATATTTACCGTCGCGCTAGCTGTGCCCTTTGCGTGTTTGTTTCTGTGTCCTCTTTGTCCACGCAAACCTGGCAGATGTCGCACGGCTGGTATTTGTGCCGCGTTTTTGTTGTCGGGATTCATGCACGTCTCCACTGAACATCAGCGGCAAACAGGCTGCGTCTGGGTGGCAAAGATACACGTTCAATTGCTGGGCACAGTTTCACAGGCAAAGATGCAGAAAGGACAAAAATACCGTAAGATTTCATTTGGAATGTAAATGAGGCAGAAGCTACAGTCATCAGCTCTAAAGTGATGGTCTCCAGGGGCCTGAGAAGCTACCGCCATGCACAAGGTCTGACTTCTGCCCTGAAAATCTCATTTTAAATTAAAATTGCTTGGGAATATTTTCCACCGAATTGGATGGACACACATAGTGTGAAAGTGGCTAGTCCATATTAACCAATATGCATTAAAAACTTGCTTGGTGCAATTATCCAACTTATTACCTTCTATAAAACTGTTCATGTGTATGTAAAGGGAAAAAACATACAAATTTGCTAATGCAAAACTGATCAAAATTACAAAATGAAAAACCAACTGTTCAGTAAAACGCCTCTAAGTCTGAGACTTGGACCCTGCTACCCAGAGGCCTCGACAGAAGCAGCCGGCAGGGCCCCCGCCGGCCCAGCCCCGTTAACCAAACACCCATTAACCGGCAGCCCAGGCAGGAACAGCAGGGAGGCCTCTGGATCGGGGCAGAAACATTCCCACTCCGTGTCACAGTGCCCCAGGCACCCCCTCACCGGGCCTTAAGTGCAGGTTTGATGAAAAAGTCACATGTCTGCACCTGACGTGTGAAAGCAGGAGCTAAAGGATCCCAGCGGAGAGGGGCACGAGGCAGGGCTGCTGCCCGCTCCCCTCCTTGGCTGCCCCAGGGATCACACTGGCTGCTCCTCAGGGGTCGCACCAGCTGCCCCACAGCCAACCCCCGCACGTGGTGCCCCCCACACCACAGCCCCACCTTTGCCTCGCGTCTCTACAGCGCTTCAGTGAGGGTGACAGAGCCCCAGAACAGGCTGCGCAGGGAGGCTGTGGAGTCTCCTTCTCTGGAGACCTTCCAAATCTGCCTGGGTGCCACCCTGTGCCCTGTGCTCTGGGTGTCCCTGCCGGA